AATATAAAAATATATATATAGTTGCCAATGTTAGCAATGTTAAATTATCTGAAAATCTATGTAAAAGTCAAAGAAAGCAGTCCTGGTGCAGAGGAAGCTATATTATGTCATGGCTGGGAATATGCATAACTTTTTGGTTACTTTTAATTGTCAAAATACAGTGAGGGAAATTCTCCACAACGTAATTCCAGTTTAATGCTCTGAAATCAAGCGGAGATGTACATGAAATGTGAGAGTGAGGAATTAGGCAAAATAAGGACAAAAGATCTGCAGTCAGAAAATAGAAACTTCCATACAAAGAAATAGGAAAAGGCTAGGCACAAACTTTTTTCTCTGGCTGCAACCATGTATTCAAGGACCTTCCTCCTACTTAGATTCTTCTTTGTTATGTCCCTCTAAACTATGAGGTACGTATAAAGCAATGCCAAGTGCATCAAATGTCAGCCAGCACACGTCTTCACATTTTCAAGAGGGGTAGGCTTTTCAGGAGGCAATTCAAGAAGTAGAAGTTGCAGTCTGGGTACCTAAATGGAGTTTGTATGGTTAATGATGGATTAGCTTTTACACGTTTTTTCATTAATGATCATTCATCTTTTGTAGAAAAAGGTGAGAGAAATTAATCTATGGAAACTTTTCTTGATGATATTCTTTCCCTTAAATCTCAGAATAATTAAAAAAAAATCAATGATGGTTTGGCCAATAAAGTATTGCTAGCTTATCTATTAGATTTTTGCTTCCAGCAGTCTTAGGCTTTAAAAAAAAATCTACTTGTGTATATAAATGACCTTTTTTCCACAGAGAACATTTCATGCCTTTTTACTTTCCAGAGAATACTGCCAGACTACTGGAAGAGCATCACAGAATTTAAATACTTCTATAACCAACCTGATAATTTAATACCTTTGCTCTCTTGCAGGTGAGAAACGACATAGTTTTGATGTTAATTATAATTCAAGTTTCATGTATGAAAAGGAAAGTGACATAATGCAAGGACGCATGATGGACCAGGCCATAAATAATGCAATCACCTACCTTGGGGCCGAAGCCTTGCGCCCTCTTGTGCAGACACCGCCGGCTCCCACTTCTGAAATGGTCCCTGTCATAAGCAGCCTGTATCCCATACCACTGACCCGCTCCGAAATGCCAAATGGCAACTCACAAGATGCAGAAAAGAGCCATACCCACCTAAGAGACAAAAGTCTGTCTTCTGATAGAGGCCTTTCCCCAAACAACAGTGGCCAAGACTCCACAGACACTGACAGCAACCACGAGGAACGGCAGAATCACACCTTCCATCAAAGCCAAATGATCCCCCCTCAGGCCCGTAATGGCCTCCAATCCTTGAAGGATTTTCCAAGGCCATATGACATAATCAAGCCACCTGCCATATGCCCACGTGATGCCTTTAAGGTCATCAATAAGGAAGGGGAAGCTATCGGGGTCTACCGGTGTGACCATTGCCGCGTCCTCTTTTTGGATTATGTGATGTTCACCATCCATATGGGCTGCCATGGATTCCGTGATCCTTTCGAGTGCAACATGTGTGGGTACAGAAGTCATGACCGATACGAATTTTCCTCACATATAGCACGAGGAGAGCACAGAGTAGTACTGAAATAAAAGGATTGATTTTCTGAGATCAAAGGATTTGTTTTAGATCGGAGGGAGGGTTGTTTGTTTTTAATTAGTATAAAGAAATTTCTTGAATATTTTTCTATGCCAGTTTTTAAGTAATCAATGTCAGAGGGAGGGTTTTGTTGTTTTTCTTGGTTTGTTTTTTGTTTTTTACAAGTAATTCATTGTTCTGTAGCATCTATGCCTAGCTGCTATGGTGAGTGGTACTGTATAAGTACCAGAAGTAGAGAGAGAGAGATTTTAAATGAACTTTATTTTTGTGAAAATTAATAGCAATTTAAGATTTTTAAAATTTTTAACATGTATTTGTTTTTATAGTGTATGCTTTAACTCATCACGGAAGTGTTTTATTCTCTACTGCCATTTAG